ACCATGATTGTGCGCGGAGACAAATACATTGTTTACATCCAGCAATAAACCGCAGCCAGACCGCTGTGCCAGTGCCGACAGGAACTCCCACTCCGGCATGGTAGATGCCTGGAATTCAAGATAAGTGGATGGATTCTCCAGTATCAGCGGACGTTTCAGGTAATCCTGTACCCGTAGTACCCGCTCGCATACATGCTGCAGGCTTTCTTCGGTGAGCGGCATGGGCAGCAGGTCATGCGTATTGACCTGTGCAACGCCCGTCCAGCAAAGATGATCGGATACCCAGGCCGGTTCTATCAGTGTTTCCAGTTCTTTTAACAAACGGAGGTATTCCATATTCAGCGGATCCGTACTGCCGATAGACATGGATACGCCATGCATTACTACCGGCACCTGTTGCCGGATATGTAGTAATACATGACGTGCAAATCCATGATTGTTCATGAAGTTTTCACTGATAATCTCAAACCAGCCTACTTGTGGCGGATGCTGTAGCAGGTGCTGGAAATGCTTGCTTCTTAAACCCACGCCCAGGCCTAACAATGGCAGGCCCAGGCGTGGTGAGTTTGGTATATGCATAGTGGTGGTAAACGACTAGGTGGATGGTGGGAAAGCCAGGCGAAGGTCATTCGGTGCAGGCTTCACGGGTAATGGTGCATTCGGGTCCCGGTGCTTTAATACCTGGCAGTAAGCGTCCCAGGCCACATCATAAACCAGGTCGCCTTCCTTATAGGTCATCTGGCCAAAAGGAGTGGAGCTGTTCGGATCGAAGAGGGCCATGGTATCACCCATTGCACCCGGTGCCGGGTACATTTGAGCGGCCGATATAGGTACCGCACATCCGCCGCTGGTGGCGCAGTTATTATCAGATGGTGCGCTGATCAGGGTAGTCGTTGGTGTTGGCTGCGGTTGTGGCTGGCCGCAAAGATTGCCTTCCGATGCAAGGTCTGTGCCATTGCTGATCATGGGGTCTTTCAGCTTGGTGCCATATAGCTTGGTGCTGCAATTGCCACCACCGGATGCCGACTGTACAAAACCGCAACCGCCTTCTGTCTTACATTGGTTGGATCCCTTGCAGCTATGGTATACCGCCACGGCAGCGCAATCTGCCGAACCTGGAGCTTCATTGTTCAGGTTCAGGCCCTGGCAGCTGTGATTCAGTAATCCAGGGGTTCTTTCATCAATGCCTATGGAAAGATCCGGGTGCTTGCCGAACACTGCCCAGCAGATAGACATACGGTCGCCTGACCCGCCCATGGAAG